CCAGAGGTCAGGATAATAAAAGAATAAAGAAATGAGAATAAGAAGACGTGCTTAGTGAGGCAAGAGGTGAGCCAAGAGAGAGATTTCAGAGGCCAAGTGAAAGTAAATTTCAAGAAAGAATTTGCTGGGCATGGTGATGCAATCCTGTAATCTTATCATTCTTGGAGGCTGAGGCAGGAGCATCCCAGGTTGGAACCCAGCCTCAAATACTTAGCAAAGCCCTGTTTCAAAATTAAAGAAAGGACTGAGGTTATAGCTTAGTGTGAAGGCTTTGAGATCAATCTTCAGTGCTGGAAGAAAAGAGAAAGAAAGAGAAAAGGAGGAGGAAAAAAAAATTATTCCCTCTATTAAATGCCTTTAAAGGACAAAAAGTGAGAGCTGGAAATGAAACAATTGGCTTATCAAACTTTGTAAGAAGGGTTTGAGTGGTGGGGTGACCAAGGCCGGTTTGGAGTAGGCCCAGAGAGTAGAAAAGAGAACAGGGACCAAGCAATGGAGCAACAGCTAGAAGGAAGCAGAGAGGCCGTGTTTGAAGGAGTTTTTGTGATCAAACGCTCCTGGATGTGGAGCAGAAGGGAAGGAAAGAGTGACCACGTCGGGGATTTGAGCAGTACTCGCTAGCGTGAAGTTCTTGGCAGTCGAGCAGGGCTGGCTCCAGCGCACGGTGCACAGGTCGGTTCCAGCAGGAGGCAGGTGAGCTGCGTCACGGCACAGACTCTGGGCATGAGGAGGCCGAACCTACTTCATCGATAGAATATGAAACCAGGCCACTTGCTGAGGGTGAGGAGTGGGGACTCTTGAAAAGTGAGGAGAAGGCTGAAATCGTTGTCTGTGACAGTGGAAAAGGAAATAGACTTTGATGGTAGAATGGATAGAGGGCAGGGATCATGACACTCACAGGAGGCCAGCTGGTTTGGCCACCTGTGTGTTCTCACCAGCCTCACTTGTTTACTTGGGTGCAGACTGAACTAGGTGAGAGTCTAGAACAACCAACACTTGAAATTGCCAGGCTGATGGGGAAGGGAGAGGCCTGAGGATGTATGTGAGAAAATGATCCTATTACAAGATGTCATCCAGGCCTGCCAGGTGAGGGCATAAAAGACAGCGCTGAGGTAAAATGCAAAGGCATTAGGGGGTCAACGGATTGAGTGTTTGGAGGATGAAGAAATCGTGGCAGCTGCAGGGAGAGATTCCTGGGGAAAATGTGAGATGGTTGTTGCAGAGTGGGCTGCTTGAGCTGGGGACAGGGAAGCAGACGCAGCAAAGCTTAGAGCACAGCCCATCTGAGTTCCTCTCTACACCCAGTTGGCCCCTCACCTCCGAGGCCCCAGGTTGGTCTTCTGGGTTTATAAGTCATTCCTGAGGGTCGGCTCTCACCTTTAATCTGGTTGGACTTTTAGAGAGATGGGGACGACGGGGACCTTGGGGCAGAGCCTGGATAAAACAGGGTCCGCATGTGGAGAAGGCTGTGACTGCAGTGTGAGGGCTCCCAGGTGGCAGCACCTCTGGACATGACCTTGCCTAATTTTGAGGGCTTCAAAGTCCCCCAGCGCTCAGGGGTGAAAGGTCATGAAACCCAGCTGCCCATTGAGTGGCATTCAGCAACCCCAAAGCCTCACTTAATTCCGTCCTGTCCTCTCCTATCCACTCCCTTCTCCTCCCCTCCTGTCCCCTAGACCTGTGGCAACCACCAGCCCACTGTTTCTATGCACTTACTACTCTCAGTGCCTCATCTAAGTGGCATCATAGACTATGTGTCCTCTTGTGATTGGCTTATTTAATACAGTGTCTTTAATCTTCACCCACATGATAGCAAGTGTCAGAATTCCAGAATTCCCTTCCTTTTTAATCTTATAATAATAATGTCCCACCGTGCGGGTATGTCAGCTTTTGTTTATCCACCCGTCTGTCTGGGGAGCCTTGTGGTACTGTCACCTTTTAGCAGTTGTGAATAGTGCTGCTGAGAGCAGGGTGCGAACATCTCTCTCAGGGCCCCTGCTCTGAGCACACACCCAGAGGCAAAACAACTGGCTCACATGGTGACTGTATGTTTAAATTTTCATAGATCATCAAAACGTTTTCTGCTGCACCAGTTTGCATTCAGACCAGCAGGGCACAAAGGTTCCAGTTCCTCCACCCACCTCCAACACTTGTTTATTTCATAGCCCATGTTCCGTTACTCCCCATTTGATACCCTGTGGGGCACACGGTGTTGTGTTAAAAAAAAAAAAGTCTGCTATTAACCCCGTTGAAAGTGGAAATGAGAGTAAATGAAGCTGGCGAGCTCAGCGAGTCCCAGCTTGCACAGCTTCTCCTCAGTCTGCGTGAAGCCTTCCCAAAGCCACATGTGGCTAATTAAATGTAATTAACATGAGAGAAATTTAAAATTCAGCCTCAGTCTCATAAGCAGCACCCCAAGTGCTTACTCTGTCCCCTTCACGCATGGTCCTATATCCGCCAGTACAGAACAGAACACTTCTTTCACTGCACAGGGTTCTCCAGCTACATTACTGGATAGTTTTCTAGCTCCTGATGGCCACCTCTATCTTGACTCACAAATAATACTTAGCTAAGCTTTTCCAGAGCTGGCTAGGTTAAAATTTAGGTGGAAGATCTTTCTTTGGCGTGTGGGGAAAATAGGCTGCTTAAAAATCTATGGCTGTTTGGCATATCAGCAGGCTCTCCCATTTTTCTGTTTAAATATGATACTTGGTCACACAGAGGTTTTGTAGCTTGCTGTCAATGACAGGCTTCATGAATGTAAACCTAGGAAACCGTCTAAGGCTTTCTCTGCCACATTTGACAAATCCCTTAGACTGTAGCTTTCAAACTGGCAACATAGTGTGTCTGTTTCACTAACTTTACTCCAAGCCTAATGCAACAGGCAGTACACTGGGGACACTTAGTAAATATTTGTTGAAAGAGGAATGGATGCATAGTCTAAGTAAAGGCTGAGCTCAGGTCCTTGAGATGGGCCCTCAGACAGAATGAGATTTAGAAACCTCTCTCTAGCTCTCCTATAGCAAATTTTTTTTTTTAATTTTTAGAGAACATAGATTTTAAACTCTTGTGTTCCCCTCTGATGTTCTTTCCCTGTGGTTCAAAAAAAAATACACCTTAAAACTTAATTCCTGGAGGGATGTTGCCCAATGCATTGTAATAAAACTGCAACTCCCTTTTATAAACTTGTCAACTGTGACTGGAATGAGAACAATAAATCTCTGGTTTTTATAACGCCAGCAGGTAGCATTGCTTCTCCTCTAGAACCTTCCCTTCCTGCCACTCTGCTGTCTACATTGGGAGGCTGATCTGATAGTTTGTACAAAAGGCCCCGGGGCTTTCCTTGGGCTTGGCCAGAGAGAGCTCAGGCAAGAGGGGAGAGGAGCCGGGCGTGGTGGCTCATGCCTGTAATCCCAGACCCCCAGGAGGCTGAGGCAGGAGGACTGCTATGAGTTTGAGGCCAGCCTGGGCTAGCACCAAGTTGAAGGCAGCCTGAACTTACATAGCAAGATCCTGTTCCAAAAAAGAAAGAAAGAAAAGAAAAGAAGGCCCGAGCTTGGAGAATGTATTCCAAACAGAAGGGCGCAGTTACTCTAGCCGATCTTTCTATGTATCTCTCCGTCCTAGTTCCAGATACCCTATATATGATTTTTGCATAAGTTTCCACTTCAATTCTGTCTACCCTGTCCATATCTTTATCATAGTCAGTTTGTATTTATAAATTCTGCTTGTCCTAATACGAATGTGATATTGTTTCCTCATAGGGTCCTAACTGATAGGACATCCTTAATTAGTACCAAAATTATATACCTAAATCCCACCCCTGAAAACTATATAACTACAATCTTTACAAAAATACCTCCGATGATATTGTTACATACTTAGTTTAATCCATGGATCGGCTTTACAAAGCAACCACATTATATATCATAAATTTTTCTCCAGTACATTCAGAATAGAAACATATTAGATTCACAGGCAAACCACTGTAATTTCATTTAATTCTCATCACAAATTTTGGAAGTGTGCACACCCAACCCCACTTGACAGAGGGGTAAACTGAACCTTAAAGTGTCTTGTCCATCATACAGAACATCTTAGATTTAAATTTAGGGCCTGGCACAAAAGTCCCTGTTTTAAACCATTAAAAAGTATCCAAGAACAACATCAAAGACCACAGAAGAACCAACGCATAAGAGTTTTCCAAACAAATGATTTCTTTCATCTTGTTATCTATATCAAAAAGCAACATGAAACTCTAGGTAAATTTAGAAAGTTTACTTTAAAAAAAGAGAGAAAATGCAACATACAGTATAACTCATAGGAAAGCAAATTTTTTTGTTCCATAAACTCATTTATTTTTCCATGCATGATACACAAAGATGGTTAGAAAATGAGAGGCAGAGATTGTATTAACGTGGTTTTAAATTTCACCCCTGCCTATGATTCTTGAAATGACACGGTCATGTTTTTATTTTAACCCAAATTTCAACTAAGTAAAAACTTTCCTCCAATGTATGTGTATTACTATCAGAGGTTAATGTTTTATATACTCTGGCTACTTTATGTATGCAGATAGAATAAAGAGTCCTATCTGATTAAAATGGCTTAAAAAACATCTGATGTAGAGAGAGTATAGTTGATCTGCTTAATAGTTCATGATGGAACCTATTTTGCTGCAGCTATGATTTTGCATAACAAGTTGCTAAACGATTTTAAGGTAAAACTGTTACTCAATACTGGTAACCTCTTTTTTGCACCATGTCCTCCCGTGCAGAACTATAAAAGTGAAACAGAAGAGCATAAGTGAACGCAACCAATAAGCTGTGACTTGTACAGAAAAAAGCGTGCTCTTTTCAGCCTTTAAATATTAACCTGGAATTAGAATAATTAAGTCTAGAACATCACTTTCAAAAATAAACAGTTTTACACCCATCTTTTGTCCACTGAGACACCTTGTGACCCTATTAGATAGGGTTCTACACCTAAACAAACCTTACTTTGGGGTTGAGACCTGGTCTTCTTTTCTTCTTCCTCCTCTTCGTCCATTTCATTTTCTTGCTGTACCTCCATATTCCGCTCACTTTTCCCTTTCACACACTCCTCAGACGGACCGATTTCTTCTCTGCTGGTGGTTTGTAATTTCTGTAAGTCCACAACCTGTAGCGCATCCTTTCATGACCCTAAAACACTGAAAAGTACAGTCTGACACCACAAAAATAAAAGTGCTTCAGAAGAGGAACGATCAAAAGTGGTATTAATGAAAACAGATGGCCTCTGAGTAACGAACTCACACATTCCAAGGACAGAGTCTTCCCCAGAGGATATTTGTCCCCAGCAGGGATCTTCTTGAAGGGAACTTGAGGAGCAGGGAGTTGACTCCCTCGTTCTGAGGCTCCTTGCCCCGAATGGGAGGAGGACTCCGGGTGGGGCTGCGTGGTCTTGCACCACTCTCCGTGCGTGTTGAAAGCAGCTGCTCCAGCAGATTGCTTTAAACACGGCAAACTGGGTGCTGCAAGGTGATGCTGGACAGAGGGGAATTATGAAACAGGAACTTTTGCCACAATTCTGCATCCTGGTCACAGGAAACATCTACGGAGTGGATGCTCCCGTGCAAATCAGAATTCACGACAGATTACACAGGGCTGTGGTTGCAGCGTACAACTTATTCACATCTTATTCCTTCTGTGGGTCTAGTACGGTGTCTCTCCAACAGGGTTCATGAGTGGACACTTTTTAAAGGAGAAAACACGGCACCCGTGTTGATCATCCTTGTCTACCATTATGTTCCTTGACTGTACTATAAATAGCATGTCCCTTAAAACATGATCAATTCCTCTTGTTTATGCAGTCTTTTTTTTTTTAAAAAAAACAAACCTGTAACATCCAAATCAACCCACACATTAAAGCTATATATTCAAAGGAACTATACTGACTTAATGTCATTTTGATAACACAAAAACCGCCAAACTCTGTTCTGAGTGCAGAAAACTTCGTCTGGTGTTTTACTGTTCACTGATTAGCCACAGGGGCCTCTTTGTTCTGAATACAGGAGGCACCATTTCCAGTGATTCCCTCACTAACACTGCTATGATTTTTCCTTTAAGCAATTAATCCCAACTCATTCATCCATGATTTATTAACAAGTCGATCAACCTAAAAGTGTCCCTAAATAAAATGCCAGTGCATGACTTTATTCTAATGAAAGTGTCTTTACTGAGTGGTTATTATCGTGCCTAGCACTAATTACCTGAGCCAGTGAGTGTCTTCCATCTCCACCCGAATGCGTGTGCTGCGCGGTGAGCGGCACAGTGAGTGGTGTAGGGCTGAAGGTGGATTCTTCTGATTTTCATGTCCTCGGGCGCCTGCACTGCTGTGTGCTGGGTGCTGGCCCAGCTCTCCCCTGCCTATCTGCAGTGCTACCAATCACCCCGCCACCTCAGGAGCTTTACCAGGGGTCAGACTTGGTTTGGCTGCCACACTGCTGTCAACCAGATGCTAACAGTGAGAAACTTGACTATACCAGTAACCCTGGAATGTCATTGTTGATATTGCCATCAAAATGAAAATTTGATTTAAACATCAATACTAACTGGAAACACAAGCTTATGTTATGGCTGAGCTACTTAGGAAAGCATGGTATAAAAGAATGGGCAGCCCGTCACGGAGAGGACTTCCAGCAGTTAGGAATGTTAGCTCTGGAACTAGACCACTCCAATGCTGTCCTTAGATCCTTGTCTCAGGAGGGACTGGATGCCCAGATCCTGGGAATACTGTCAGCAGGCAGCATCTACCTGTCAGTGTACCCCGGTCTGTCTCAGCTGCAGAGAGAGCCGTTTGCCCTGACATTATATGAAACCCCAGGCAGCCTGCATCCCATACTGGAAGAAAGGCCTGGCTAATTCAGATTTTTTGCAAGACAGTTTGATAAACACTGTTCCAGAGTCAGCTGAGTCAGCTGGAACTGCGTCAGGTCTGTGTCCGGATACTACTTTTTTGCTTGTCCAACCCTGCTTCTAATCCCCTCCTGAGATGGGTCCCAAATGAACATTTGCACTTCATATGCTATCTCTGCAAATGCTTCTGGAGTAGCCAATCTGTGATCCGCTTGCTATGGTTTACATCGAGATGTGCCCCTGAAGTCTCAGGAGATCAGTGGAGGGACCTTAGGCAGTGGTTGTTTTATAGGGGTTTTCCAGCTGACTTGCTCTTAGGAGATGAGGCCTTGCTGGAAGAGGCAGTCACTGTGAGAGTGACCAAGAAGGTGTTATTTCCCATCCCGGCTGGCTCCCGCCTTGATTCCCTGCTTGCTGCCCACCATGCCATGAGCAGCTCACCGTCTCCACGGCCCTCTGCAAAGCTGCCCTGCCTTGGGGCCAGCTGATGGTAGACTGAAATCTCTACAAGTTACAGTCAAAATAAACTTCTCTTTTAAACTGTAGGTGTCACATATTATGTCTCAGTAGAGAGAAAGTGATTTAGATACCCCAACTTTTTGGTTGTTTGAATTTGAATCAAGTTAACCTATATGTGCCTTACTTTCCTAATCTGTTGAATAGAAATATTAATATTTTATTTATGATGATGTATGTTTGACTGTGTGATTAATTTTATGTGGCATTAAGAAGGAAAAAACCTGCTCTAAAAGAAGACCTCTATACAAAGCTAAATCAAGGGTAAACAGAGTCACCCTACGCACAGAAAGGCTACTAACAAAACTTGCTCTTTTGATCTTTAATACAAAAAGACATATTATTGTTTTTTTACTAAGTAACATATTAATGAATACACATTGCATTCTCTCAAATGGCAAAGGATAACATTTCTTTTTGATCTCCAAGAACCTCAAAATCATCTGTTTTGAGGGATCCCAGAGGCAGCACGGAAGGTAACGCGTGGAGCAACAGGGCCCCTCCTGCGCTGCTCCCAGAGGGGCCTAACAGCAGCCGTAAGCCATGGCGCGGCAATGAGCAGAAGGTCAGCCCTTCCCCGCCAGGCTCCCAACTATGTAGAGACAGCAGGAGCAGTGAGGGGCCAGCAGCACCACCCCCGGCCCATGAGAGGAGAGAGATGCGGGGAGTGGAACAGAGAAGGCTGTGCAAGGGCCGGGGGGGGGGGGGGGGGGGGGCTGCGCGCAGGACTGAGAGGGCCTGGGGCTGTGTCTGTCTGAGGGTGCTGTAGCGACTGAGACAAACAGGGTAGGGAGACGTGAATGGGCCATCAAGGGGCACAGAATCCTAGCTCCACATCTGGAGGCCAAGATCGGCCCCGCATGCAGAGCAATGCTACTGCAGACCTGGCGGGTCACCCAGCACAGATTCAGGGTCTGACCCGGCACTGCCCCGGACCTGCGGACACCAGAGGGACTGTATTCTCTTTCTCTCTTCCTTTTTCTTGTGTTTTCTTATTTTGTCTGATTTTTTTGATTGTTTAGGTTTTCACATTTTGCTTTGTTTTGTTCATCTTCTTTCTCTTTCCCCAGCTAACTTCCTTGACTTTTTGATATCTTCATGTGAGGGAACATTGTCTCTAGTCTCTCTGGTTTGCCTTGATATTCTTTTGCTTTCTCTCCTGTCCTCTTCTTGGGTTTCCCAAAGGTTAGGTTATCATCTTTTGTCTTTCATCCTCGCTTCTACTACATTTCTCTTCACTGATCTCTCTGTTTTGCCCTCTATCTCTCTTAAATTCTTCCCTCCATCCCATATATAGAGCATAACAGCACTCTGCTAAGAGAAAGCTTACTGCATACAGGTTCCTGGGTTATGCTGATTTTATTATACACCTGGAGATCGTGCTCTAATGGTGATTAGGTACCAAGTTAATAGTTACCACAGTTTGCAGTTTCTGGGCTGTGCTTGTTGCTAGTGTTATCGAAAATTTCACTGCTTTGGCCAGGATGTCATGCCTGTTGTACTGACAATCATGCTGATGATTGTCTGGGGTCATAACCATCACCACAGGCTAGTACCAAAATGACTGGATGCTGAGCCAAACAGGTAACAACATCTCATCCCTTATAAATTGGGAAGGTAGGTAGGATCTTGGATCAGACACAAAGGGCAAGGGCCAGCTGCAACTAGAAGACATCTCTGAGGAGTAGACATTGCCCAGGGAAACTTTAATACCAGTGATAAAGCTACCTACCATAAGACATTTACAAGCATCAACACAGAAATCAAATTAAAATTAAAAAAATAGAAAAAGACAACACACAGAAGCAAAGTGCAACCTCAGACCTGCAGCCCACCCAGGACAAGTCCAGAGGACAGTGAAGTAGAGGAAAACAGAAGTCACCCAACTGAATTTTCTGAAATTGTAGGAGCAGAAGTAAAAAAAAAAAAAAAAAAAAAAAAAAAAATAGATGATTGAGGCTACAGAAAAAATCAGATCAGAAATAATCTCTCAGATGAAAAAGAGAGGACCATCAAAATGAAGACTTTCTCAGTGAATCTAGAGTAGACACCAATTTTTTAAAAAGTAGAGATGCTTAGGAAAATGATAGAAACCATGAACGCCCAACATAGGAAAGAAATGCAAGGGGCTGGGGATTTAGCTCAGCGGCATAAGTGCCTGCCTTGCAAGCAGGCAGTCGTGAGTTCAATCCCTGGTGCCGATAAAAAAATGAAAAAGACAAAAAAAAAAAAAAAAAAAGAAATGCAAGCCATGGAACAGGTTCAAATAGATATACAGGAGATTAAAAATTCCATTGAATGTATATGCTGTAGATGGAACCAAGGTGAAACAGAGCATCAGATCTAAAAGACAGGATTGTGGTTAGCAATCAGGAAAAGAAAAATTTCTTAAAAATACCAAGGAACTATGAAAAATCAATCCAATGGCTGCAAGATGATGTAAAGGAGAATAACATAAGATTGACTGAAGTCAGTGAGAAAGCTGGAGACGGTTCACACACCATAAACAACGTGTTCACAGAAGCAATGGCAGAAAACTTCCCAAGTATGGAAAAAGAATTTGACACAAGGATATGTGAGGCATTTAGAACTCCATTAACCATGACCAAAATAAATCTACATGAAGGCATATAATAATCAAGAGTCCAGAAATTCAGCACAAAAGTTGCTAGAGAAAAGAAACAAATCATCTATAAAGGAAGCCCATCAGAATCACCACAGCAGATTTCTCAACCCAAACACTTAGGTCAAGGAGACCTTGGAGTAAAGTATTTCAAGTCTTGATGGGGAACAAATTCAAACCCAGGTTGATATACCCTGTAAAACTATCTTTCACAAACAATGGAGAAATAATGTATTTCAAT